GAACCGAAACTGTGCATGTATGCATTACTTCGTTTTTCTCATATGCGTTATTTCGGTTTTCAAACGAAAGTGTGCATGTATGCATTATTTCGGTTTTTTTCATATGCATTATTTCGGTTTTCAACCGAAACTGTGCATATATGCATTATTTCGGTTTTTTTCGTATGCATTATTTCGGTTTTTTTCATATGCATTATTTCGTATGCACAGTTTCCATATGCACAATTTCAGGGTGCCCTTGCAGCGAGAGCGTAAAAGAAAATTTTAGAGGAAGAGAAAATTTCTACCAAAAGTTATTGAAGGCAAAACAAGTTAAAATTTTTAAGTAAACAGCTGGCATGCAGCTTTGACATTTCATGTTGATGTTCATTTTGGCGCGTTAATCTTATTTTATTTGCGAAACATATTATCGATTGAATTTTTCGGATTGTTATAAAATAAAGAAATCTACATTGACCCTCAACTGTTGACCACAAACATTACGCAGTATATAAAGTAGTATGTATAAATATGTAATCAATTGAAACAAATAATAGACAATTTCTTATTAACTTTACAGAATGACGAAGGGTTTGGGTTGCTTGGGTCAAGCGGTGGTGGTATTGGAGCCCAAGTAATTGTAATTGTAATTTAATATGATTTAATTGTGGTTTATAAACTGTACAGAATGACTTTAAAGTTGCCTGGGTCTAGCGGTGTTGGTATTGGAGCCCATTATGAACGTTAATACCGGATTGACTAATGCTAATTCTAGCAAGCCTCCCCCAAATTTCTTTAGTAGCTTTTGTAATTAAACGGAAAAAGGAACCTCGATTTTCATTTTTAAAAAATATGCATATGTTTTTGTATGTACAGATGTAATGTTTATCACTGACTAATATGTCAAACATATACCAATTCAGACTGTAAATAAGTTTTTCGATTATATTTGTCTGAGAGCCTCTTGGAGGTTAAAAACTAAATTGCCCACATCTACATAAACTCTTTCTTTTTTTCATCAGAATTGTTAACGGTTGAGAAAGTATTTTGAATTTTTGCAACAAAAGATAATATTTCTTCTCTAACGGCGGTTTCACACGGGTTTTTGTCAAGACTGGGCCAAAACCCAATATTTCATCACACGACTGGGCTACCAAGTTATACCAAATTTGATGTTATTAATATGTGTTCTAAAAGTGAAACAAATCTGATCATAAATATGATTTTTTAGGATAGCTCTCAATCCCTGCGCCACCTATCGGAAGACAAACACACTGATCCTTCTAAAAACTTTTGCACAAAACGAAAATCATTCAATGCGATTTTAAAAGCTGGGAGAAAATGGTTCACAATTGAATGATTCTTGCGATCTTATATGTGTATAAATGTAGGTGTATAAAATTCCATTACCATATAATAAGTGGTTCCAGAGATAAGCGGTATGAGAATTTCAGTTTGTATGGGCAGTGCCACGCCCCTTATCCAAAATCTACTACTCTACGCCGTAAGTACGGTATTGACAACATATGTTGCTGTGTGAAATTTCAGGACGTTAGCATAGTCGGTTCCAGAGATAAGCGATATAAGAATTTCAGTTTGTATGGGCGGTGCCACGCCTCCTTTTCCAATACCTACCACTTTTCGCCATAAGTACGGTATTGACAACATATGTTGCTGTGTCCAATTTCAGGACGTTAGCATAAGTGGTTCCAGAAATAAGCGATATGAGAATTTCAGTTTGTATGGGAAGTGCCACGCCCATTTTCCCAGTACCTACCATTTTTTCACCGTAAGTAGGGTATTTACAATCTATGCGTCTGTGCTAAGTTTCAGTTCCCCAACATAATTTGTTTTAGAGATATAGTGGTTTTCACATTTTAGTCTATATATACGATGCCACGCCTCCTATGTATCCGGATTAACATTTTTGGATTAGAGGAAGTTATATCCTTTAAATCGGTGTTTGTTTCATTGAAATCGAGCGAACGGTGCCTTCAAAAAGGGATTGCAAATTTTTCTTGTGGCGTATTTATATATAGATTTCCATGTTGAATTTTGAATACTTTGTTATTTTTCGAAATAATTTTAAATGGTCCTTTATAAGGTGATTGCAAATTTGACTTGTGAATAACTTACTCACAAGTATCCAAATTTTTAGGAACAAAACAGTATTCTTTATTGTGATGTACAACCTTTGATCTAACATTTGAAAAATATTTTCTTAGCTTAGAAAGAGTTTCATTTGTATTATCAATTTCATTATTAAAATTATTCGTAACAACTTATTCACCCGGTAATCTTAATGTTTGTCCATAAAATAATTCTGCAGAAGAGCATTTAAAATCTTCTTTAACAGACGTACGTAATCCTAATAACATCCAAGGAAGAATTTCAGACCAGTGGGTAGAATCCTCCGAAGCAGTAATAGCAGTATTTAATAACCTATGAAATCTTTCAATCATCCCGTTTGATTGGGGATGATATGGAGTCATATGAATTTTGTGTGATCCTAACAATTTAGTTAATTCTGTAAACAGTTTTGATGTAAATTGTGATCCTTGATCTACTTTTATATAAAGAGGAATGCCAAAACGAGAAACGTAATTTTGAACAAATATCCCTAAGTGGATATGCTT